GGCAGTGCCAGTCTGTGCCCACACTCACCACATGGCATGCATGTACGTGGGGGGCAGCCTGGGGCTGCTCACAGGGGTGCAGTTGTAGGACCTCATGATCCTCTCTGCCARGAGGAAATTACGGAACAAACTGGCCACCAGCAGGTCCTGCCTGAAGAGCTTCTGGAAAAGATCTGCAAAAGATTGCAGGAGTCACCACAGGGGCATTTCAGCACCTCGGGAAACAGGGAATAGCACATCAAACCACATCAAACCACATCAAACCACATCAAACCACATCAAACCACATCAAACCACATCAAACCACATCAAACCACACCAACATTTCATTCCAGCCACCAGGAACCTCCAGCAGTTTTGCAGGGACATGATATGAGAACAACAAGAGGGAAATTTTGCCTCCAGAGCTCCTTCAAAGCGACTCCATTCCACATTAACACTGTTAAAGCCTTTCTACCTCAGGTTCTTTTTTGCCTTTCTGGATCAAATCCCCCGTTTGGTGTCTCATTTCAGCTCAGCCTAAATTTTTGGAAAATTACTGAGGGAGAACAGGACCTCTGTGTACTGTTTAATCAAGAACTAYCCATCTGTTAACTGGCAGTTTGATGTGCTTATGAGAAGCCAAAATGAATCCTAAAAGATAGCAAATGTGCTCTCTTCTACAGGGCAGAGAAGAATTGATGCTGTGTGAGCATTAGGAAGAGCAGGGCTGGAGAACTGTTTACAAATTTGGCTGCCTGTGTTCCAGAAGCACCAATTCAGAGCAGAACAGGGSTAGAGAAATGAGGGATGAAGTTCCTCATGGGAAGCAAAACTGCCTCACCAGCAAAGAGGAAAAAAAAACTCCTTTATTTATGCTACTAACCAAGGCTGGAAGAAAACAGATTGCTCTGTACAAATACAGTAAGAGAGAAAATTATTCAAGCTGCAACAATTGTGTTAGCACAGAAAAACCTTTTGTGGGTTCTAATGATCAGGGCTCTGCAATGCTCTGCTACAAAGAACAAATTAAAAACAAACTAGCTTTCAGATCCATGCTGATGTGTTTTTCAGGTTCAGGGTGTGATTCTCTCCTGATTTCAGGGTCTGTTTGGTCTGAATGCTCATCCCCCTCACCTCTGGGCAGCACATTCCAGGCGATGGTGTCTGTGATGGCTGTGAAGATCCAGTTCAGCTCTCCCAGGGGAGTTCTCCTGTCGTTCAGCCTCCCAGGAATCCTGAAAAAAGGGGAAATAAAAGCCTCAATAAAACCCTGTTACTGTGGGATACACACATGGAGAGAAAGGAACTCTTTTCTTGTCATGGGGAGAATCATGAAATGCTACAGACAGAACAAAAACCAACACACTCCACACTCAGCAGCGTGGCTGGGACAGCCCTGGGCATTCAGGGATGATTTTGGACACAGAAMTGGGCATGGATCCACAWCCAARGAGCAGCARGGATCCACATCCAAGGAGCAGCAGGCACAGCAAATCAGGCCATGTATGCTGAGACTGGAACCAGAGAGCATTGCCAAATATTCCCCTTTTGCCTTTCATTGAAACAGTGAAAACCCAAGATGTACAGAACATAAAGGATGCAGGAAAAGCTTTGAAAACTGAATCAGTGTAACACAACAAGAGATTTAAGGTCATTCTATSCACCCTCCCAAGGAACAATGTTAACAATGTTGGGATAAACACCTCCAACAGAGAAAGCTCGGTGCCAACAAATGCTTCTCACAAGTGGAGGAAGGAAGAAAGAAAGAAGAGCACTTGACCACTAAAAGAAAGAGAAGTGATTCAACCCTCATCTCTCCAAGGGTCAGGGCACAGGCAGCTCAGAGCAGGAGCTGGGATTGAGTCCTGGGATTGTTAATAAGGAGATGCACAAAATCAAACACAGATTCTGGCACTGCTGGGCACAGCTCTGCTCCTTTTGAGAAAGCACCAGGAACAGGGTGAGGGTGTGTCAGAAACATGCACCAACCTGGTGAGACATCCCGTGGAGTTCATCCTGATTTACCCCAATTTCCTTTCTGGTTTTCAGTTTTTGGATATTAGAAATATCAGGACCAACAGAGGAATCCTCTCTGTGCCCCTCACTCCTCTGACACACACAGCAGCACCATTCCTGTGCACATTCAGAGGCAGCACTTTCTGCTGTACAAATACAGCTCTAAACCAGCTAAAAATTAACATCTTAGAAAAAAAAAAAAAATCCTGTCTGTCTTGGTATCAGAGGAAAAATACACATCTGTGAAGCAGTGTTTGCTAACGGATCCCCCGGAGCGAGCGCAGGGAACACGAGGCCACCGAGGCTCTGGTGAGGATTCCCCGTCAATATTTGCATTGCAGAACACCCTSTGCAGCAGAGCACAGCTCCCCAAGCCAGAGGGGCTTTCTTGGGAACCAAAGGGATCCCTGCTGAGCCTCCCCAGCCAGCCAGGCACTGGGCTCACTCATGTGACAGCAGCTTTTATGGCAGTTTTTATCATCAGGAGGAGTTGCTCCATGGAAAGGATGATCAGGTCTGAGCAGGGGCTGCCCTGGAGGTGCCCAAGGAAGGGCTGGAGGTGGCACTGGGGCTGGGGACAAGGTGGGCATTGGGCTCAGTGATCTCAGAGATCTCTGCCAGCCTGTGTGACATCTCCTGACCCAGCCAGAGCTGCTCAGATACGACCCTGCAGCTCGGAGACTCACCCCCACCACCCATAAACCATTCCTCAGGGCTTTTCCCAAACTTTTTAAAAAGCAGAACAAAGCCCAGTTCATGTCACTCAGCAGCCACACCCCAGCACAGATGATCTGAAGTCTTGGGATCAAACAGAAAAGTCCCCCCAAGGCAGCAAAAACGTGGACAGAGATGCTGCCAACAAAAGGTCTCACAAAGGGGCAGCCAGAAGTTCCCCAATTCCCAGTACCCCACCAAAATACCTTTAATGTTTGTCTGGCTGCAGCAAAGATCTTTATTTCTAAGCTAAGGGATGGTTTTGGTTTCACCTCTGAAGATCTGTGATGTAAATGCCCATCAGGATCTGAGTCTGGATAAATGGARATGGGAGCCCTTCCGAGAAGGTGCAGCTTCATTTGGCCTCCAAGGCTGCAGCTTAATTGCAAYACAAACTCCTTCCCCAATTTTAAAGACAACTGAATTATAAATTACAATATACACACAGGCAGTTCAGGAATTATTCCAGTCTATCTCGAGACTGTAATAAAAATCTGTGTTTTCTATAATTGAATAAGGAGCAGATGAAGATGATGAGTTTTAAATATTTGATATGCACAGGAAGCTGCTGCTGGCACCCTTCCCCTGAAGGAGGCTGTAACACACTCACGTGTGCAGTGGCACAGCACACACCAAGAGCACCCAACAAAATCCAATTTCTGCCAAGAAACCTGGGTTYAAAGAGGATTTAACACCAGCAGCACATCTGAGTGTGAGGCTGAACTGCCTGGCTCAGACCTTCAGTGCCCTCACCACGTCTTTGATTTGAGACACTCTGGTAGCAATTGTTAATTTATTAATTAACACACCACAGCCATTGTTTCTGAGTGGCCTGAGGTGGCCTCAGTCTCCTCTCATCCCCAAACCTGTGCACACCTCTGGCACTCTGAGGCCAACCCCATAAAAATCTCCTTCCTGCTTCCCATCTCCCTGAGGCCACAAAAAAACCCAAACCCCAGCACATTTTCCCCATAGCTTTCAGGCAAAGCAAAACCCAGGGCTGGATCCTTTCCCTGACAGTGTTTGCCTCTGCTCTGGCAGTTGTAAACTGTATTTTTTTCATTTTGCTCCAATGAGTATCTCTGAAATACAGCTTTATACAAATTACCACTTACCTTCCCCCGCTGAGAGGAGATAATCAATTTTTCCCATATAAAACCAGCACAGTTAAAAAGCTCAGCACTCCTGATGAGCTTGGCTGGCCCAACAAACCTGTGGGGAAGGGCTGCCAGCACTGAGAGGCTTTTTGAGCCTCAGCTGATTGAAAACATGCAAAAACTGAATAAGAAATGGGAGCTGATGTGATCTCAGCCCGTTAGGGATAAGGTGCCACCAGCAGCTCCTCACCAAACAGCAGGGAAATCTGGGAACRCATTCCTATTAAGAATTTCCACTTCTTATCCAGCCTTCTGTTCTCCTAACCCCTTTCAGGATGCCCCAACACACATAAAATTTGACTTACTTCTCTATTAAATCCAGCGTGACTCCCGGCACCAGCCTGACACTCTTCTGCATGCAGAACCTGGGGAGAGACAGTAAAACAGAGCACACACTAATTGAGTGTTTAATGAGAGGGTTCTGTGGAGAGGATGCACAAGGAGGGCTCTTTATTGCACTGTCTCTGCTTTTGAAATGGTGTTTGGGTAGGAAAGTTTGGCTTTTGAAATGGTGTTTGGGTAGGAAAGTTTGGCAAGGCATAATCAGAGAGGAATGAGGCCCCCAGCTCCTGCCACCCTGGTGATTGTGGGTGATTGTGCAGAGATTTCCACCATCAGGTGTCAAAATGGGGCTGTTGTAACTGTCAGGGTGACAAGTGTTCCAACACCCAGGGGAAAAGGGCTCTCAGGCACAGAGCAGCACGACAGGCAGCCCAGGAGGATCAYGCTGCTGGAATAATGATCAGCACTGCCTGGGCTTCCCTGAGAGCTGCAGGCAGGGAAGGGAGAAGGGAGAAAATGCGTCAGGTTCAGACACCCCCGGTATTTCATTAAAAAAACTGCTGACTCCATCTCCTGAGCGTACAAACCCCACTACTCCAGGAACAGCAGCTCTGGAAAATGGTGAGTGCTGTCAGCAGTGCTGGAAAATCCCCAGAGCTGCTGAAAATCRGAGTGTGTGGGAAGGGGGGATGCTGCYTCCCTCCTCCATCCCTCCTGGGAGYACAGGGCAGCAATGGGAAYCACAGCTCGGGGATGGAAACCCAGCAAATCCAGCTGGAAACGTTCCTGTGACAGTGTCACACCCCAGCACGCTGCTCCAGCCCCTCAGCGACCTCATCTCTGCTGCTGGAGCAGGAATTTACCCCCAGTGTGATCTCAGCTGATATCTGCACTGCATGGAGCTCTGTGAACCCCAAGGGCTCTGCTGCCCAGAAATCCCACACCCCACACCCCAGAGCCTCCTCCCCAGGTAAAGGAGAGCACAATTATTAAACACAAGACACACAAAGCTCATTTCTGTAAAAAAATCCTGAGGATCACTCCACTTTCCCTGTGGCATCCCCTGCCTGAAGGGCATCCATTCCTGCCTGGGGCTGGGCCAGCTCTGGAAAGCCCAGGGTCCTCAGGCTGTTTTCCTGCTCTGTGCGTCATCCASCAGAAACAGGAGCCATAAAGAACCCAGAACCTGCACTGGGATCCCTGGGCAATCTGCTGGAATGTAAAATTCTTACAACAGCACATTACAGACCCACGCAGGGAAATTCCCTCCTAAACAGCCACGGGCAGACTGAGC